TCCTTGGAATCCATAGCTTGTCCAGTCATGGGGCCCGCGGCTTGAGTAGTTCGTGGGGTCATATGAACGATTTCATAATGTTAAATGGATGATTTCTTAAGATAAGAGATCTTGTGAACTGGTAATAGAGTCTATTGCTGTAAGCCTAGATAGGATGCGGAGAGTGCATCCTCGGAGGCAGAACCCGAAACCGGTCCGGTAGGTGAGGCACTTGGTTAGGTAAGTAATTTGTGCTAATTACTTGCTGAAGCCTGTAACATGGTTATTTTCAGTTATATTTCCTTTGAGAAAAAGGATGTGAGGTTCCGGCTGTTCTGTCGGGACTGAATGTCTTATTTTATTTATGTATTCAATTATTTATTCATGCGCTCATTTATTTTAAATATTTCAGATTATATCCTACTGGGCCTTTCGCTCACGTTTTATGTTTCAAATGTTTAAAACCCCTCCCAGGAGACTCTAGGAGCGGGGCACGGCAGCGGGAGCAGCTGAGTGGTGCTACGGAACGATCAAGTGAGGATTGTGTTCATCCTCTGACATAAAGTGTAAGGAATATGTAAGAATTTGTAATAAATGACATTTGGATTTACTAGACTGTGGATGATGTCTATTGTAATTGATTATTTACATGAGCATGTATGTACGATACTGTATGTCCTGTGGGGTGGAGCCCTGTGTGTCAGAGGCTCCTGGATTATGTCATTTATTTATATTTTTAATGCAGCTAAGAGTGGGACCCGGTTGGGAATCTGCTTTATTAATCCCAAATCGAGTTCCACGTCACCCACCCCGTTTGGGGGGCGTGACAGTAAGAGAAAGAGGAGAGAAAGCCGGTGGTGGGAGAAAGAAAGAAAAGGAAAGAGAAGAAAAAGAAGGAGAGGGTGAGAGTCTACAAGGAGAGCTCATAGGGAGAGAGAAGAAAGAAAAGAAAGGAAAGGAAAGAAAAGAAAAGGAAGAGAGAGAAAAGGAAAAGAGAGAAAGGAAAAAGAAAAAAATATATTAAAATTTAGTGTATTTTCAAAAACTTTTGGGGTGAAATTCTTAAAGCTGAAAGTAATTAAATTGGTAGGAAATAACCTAGAAATTAAATTTTTAATTACATGATTAATTAATAAAATTAGTATTAGGCACACTAATATATCACAATTAGCATAATTAAACCTGTTTAATTCTTCAGGTTGTTACACTTAGCCTTATCTTTAGAGATACAATTAGACTTCTACCAGGACTCTTACTACATCTCGATAAATAGGTGGTAGTAGAAAATTAGACAACACAATATTTTTTTAGTTTTGTCATCAATAGTAGGCATGTAACATGCTTAGCGTAAGCATGTAGCATGAAGTTCGTTAGCATGTAACATTCTGCTGATGGGTGTGTAACTCCCACCCAATAGTTGGTGTGTAACATTCCAGAGTAGGCATGTAACATGCAATTAGTTAGTGTGTAACCTCTAGGTGATAGGCGTGTAACTCCGAGAGAAAAAAAGAAGAAACGTTCTTTCATTCCTAGTTCCACACCTTAAATGTATTGATATTTGTTGGAGACTAATTGTGAGTTGAGTGATAACTGTTTTTTCTATTTTTAGGTATGCCCACACACATCTTCTTCATAAAATCAAAGAATTGATGAGGAAGGTTCTTGGTGATCTGAGAACCAGCGCATTAGATTGTTAGTCAAAGAATTCAAGTTATCATCCTAATCAGTCGCTGTGTATAATTCTTGTTCTAAATTAATTAGATTAATGTAATCTATAGCGTTCATCAAAATGTTTATGAAAATTTTTGTTCAAACCCTATCCGAGTTACTGCGCTTCTGCATCTGAAATCATTTTGGAAACCAGCAAATTTAACATTTAAATTATATAAAAAAATTTATATAAGAGGTATATTATACATATGACAAAATAGTAGTTGTGAGTACTGCAAGAAAAAAAAAAGATGTTTAAGTACGTAGAGACTCATTCAAAATAAAACTAGTTTAGCAAGAGCAAAGTAGAGAAAATATATTTATGATAAAATAGTAATGAGAGGGTTATTTAAAAATAATCCATAGTTAGGGACACATTTAAGAAAAAATTATTTTCATAGGTCATTTGTGGGGCTCTTTAATGATATATAAATATATGAACAATATTTTTGAAAGGACTAATTAGAAAGAAATCTTTTTTCATAAGATTAAATTGGAGGAAAAAACGATTCAATTAGGTACATTTAAGAGTATAAGATTTCCTAGAAAAGCACCAAAAGAACGATAATGGAAAAAAGAAAAAACAATTGATATTCGATTGTATGGAGATATATTAAAAACTTTTATTAATAAAGGGGAACATGCATGAAAAGGTTTTGAAAAAACATGTGCTAAAAATAAAAAAGGACAAAGGAGATAAATATTTCTTAAAAGTGTATGAATCAGAATTTTCATCCTTTATTTTTAATTAATAACTTTGTTAGTCAAATAACTATACTAATAAAATAGTATTAATTAAGAATAAGGATAAAAATTCAGACTCATTTACTCTTGAGGATAAGTTCTGTATTTTTCTTGATAAAAAATGAAAAATCCAGGGGAGCACGTACCTGTTCTTCTTACAAGGTAACCGTGCCACATTAGTACTCCCGAGTTATGCTAACAAGCCTAACTTCACGCAAACGCAAAGCTAATAAAGTGAAAGTAGAGAAACGAGAGTAGGAACACACGAGAAAGGGAGAAAGTGAAAAGAGCTTCACTAAGTATGGTAACCCTTTCGATTGTTTACACTCCAATATTTTCGGGTTCTCCCCCACAATTTAAGGGACCACCCCTATTTATAGGCCAATGGGACCCTCCCATGAACATTCTAGAATGCTATGGATTTCCACCTATCCTAGAACTTTCTAGAGAATGCTTACAAAGGGTGGTCACTCTATAAGTTTCTAGAGTCTTCCACAAAGGTCTACTCTATGGAACCATTCACAAGGTTCTAGAGAACTCTAAGGTTCTCCCTAAGATTAGACTCCTCTGGAATGTTCTAGAACAATCCATATGTAGATAATTGTAGAGTGTTCTAGAGAATTCCATAGTCTATACTTCTCTAGGATTATCTAGAATATTCCATATGGTAGCCAATTGTAGAACATTCTAGAGAATTCTAGAGTCTTCTTGTAAACCTCTAACACTTAAAATGGGGCAAGAATTTGCGGATTGTGACAATATGCTCTCCCACGGCCCTCACCTCCCTATGCGGGTTTGCCAGCGATTATACATGAATGACATATACACGATGTCCCATATTGTTATTTAGTCAACCTTTTCTTTCTTATTAAAAATAATCACAAGTTGTTAATTTTATAATTGACGTTTGCTTGCTTAAGAGTAGAACGTGATAATTTTAAATTAGCCACTTAGAATTTCTTACACACACACACACACACACATATATATATATATATATTTATATATATTATGAAGGCAATTAGTATCCTTTGCCCCGAAAAAAAAAGATACGTATTAATCAAAAATGATGAATAAAAATTCAGACTCATACAACTTTGAGGATAAATTTTGTATTTTTCTGAATAAAAAATGAAAAATCCCGGGGAACATATGCTATCCCACGGCCATCACCTCCCTCCGCGGATTTGCCAGCGATTATACGTGAATGACAGAAAGAACACGATGTCCCATATTATTATTTAGTCAACCTTTTATTTCTTATTAAAAATAATTGCAAGTTGGTAATTTTATAATTAACGTTTGCTTGCTTAAGAGTAGAACGTGTATAATTTTAAAATTAGCCACCTAGAATTTCCGAGCTCTATATATTATGGAGGCAATTAATATCCTTTGCCAAAAAAGATACGAATCGGTCAAGAAAAATGAAGTACTTTACATTTTCTTCGTCCTTGGCCAACATTATCATCCTTCTTTTTCCCCTTGCCTTGGTAGCATCCTGTGATCACACTTATGAAGACTTTCTTCAGTGCCTCACCACTCGTATATCCAACCTGACCTCCACTCATAAAGTCGTTATCTACACTCGAAATGATGCAGCATATTCTACCATATTGAATTCATCCATAACAAACCATCGTTTTACTTCTCCTTCAACCCCAAAACCATTCGCTATCATCACACCATTTCATGCATCTCACGTACAAGCCACTGTTTACTGCTCCAAGAAACATGACATGCAAATCAAAATTCGAAGTGGTGGCCATGATTATGAGGGCCTTTCTTATGTGTCCAATCATCTCCCTTTTGTTGTAGTTGACTTGAGAAACTTAAATTTTATTAGCGTTGATGTGGAAAGCAAATCTGCATGGGTTCAGGCTGGAGCTACGCTGGGTGAACTTTATTATAGGATTGCTGAAAAGAGTGGAAATCTTGGCTTCCCCGCCGGCGTTTGTGCCTCTGTCGGTGTTGGTGGACACATTAGTGGAGGAGGCTACGGGTTTTTGACGCGAAAATATGGGCTTGCAGCCGATAATGTCATGGACGCGCAGATAATCGACGCTCAAGGTAGAATTCTTGATAGGAAATCTATGGGGGAGGATTTGTTTTGGGCCATACGTGGTGGTGGAGCAGCAAGCTTTGGAGTCGTTCTTGCATGGAAACTGCGACTAGTTCCTGTGCCATCAACAGTGACAGTGTTTAATGTCAAAAGGAATATGGAAGATGATGCAACAAAGAAGCTCGTAAATCGATGGCAACGGCATGCTGATAAAGTTGATGAGGATCTAACAATCTTCATCACGTTCCTAACTGTGAGTTCTATTGATAAAAAGGGGAATAAGAAAATTGTACTAGAAGCTTTCTTTTCGGCAACATTCCATGGCGGTGTAGATCGATTGCTTCAATTGACACAAAAGGAGTTTCCTGAGCTGGGTTTGCTTAAACTAGAGTGTACTGAAATGAGATGGGTCGAATCTTTTCTCTATTTCAATGGGTTGGCAAATAGAGGATCGTTGAATGCTTTACTTAATAGGACATCCAATTTCGATTCCAGGCCATTCAAAGCGAAATCTGACCATGTGAAAGAGCCTATTCCAGATGATGTGTTGGAAATAATGTTGGGAAGGTTGTATGAAGAAGAGATCGGAAATAGTGAGATTGATTTTTTCCCTTATGGAGGGAAAATGAATAGGATTCCAGAATCTGCAATTCCATTTCCACACCGAGCTGGAAACCTGTTCAGTATTCATTACAAAGTGCGTTGGGATGGAGGGAATATTAAAGCGTCCAAAAAACATTTAAGTTGGATTAGAAGACTTTACAATTACATGACTCCATATGTGTCAAAAAATCCGAGGACCGTATATCTCAACTTTAGAGACCTTGACATTGGGATGAATAAACAGCAAAGTGACACTAGTTCCTTTACTGCTATTGCAAAAGCAAGAATTTGGGGTACTAGGTATTTCAAGAATAATTTCAATAGGTTAGTTAAAGTGAAGACTAAAATTGATCCAACTAATTTTTTTAAAAATGAACAAAGCATCCCACCTCTTCTTACCCATTAGAAGGTGATTAGTGATCACTGTGAATTGCATTAAGAGAACTGTCTCTAGCATTCTTATTTCTTTCCTTTATGAATAAAAGTGTTCTTGCCGCCATATCTTGTACATGTACAGATTTTTGTGAATAAATGCCAATAAAAGTCCTTTGCTTAATTTTATATCAACTTCGCTCACAATAGATTAATTGGAAGATTCCAAACGTGAGCAAGGCCATGACCAACCATTTTTTGTTTTTTTCTTATTTTATTTTTAAGCATACACTATTTAACAATATGGTCGCTCATCCTTCTTCCCCCGTTGGAATCACATGAAGCCTTGGCACGCCAGGGTGGTAGCAAATGGGTTGGACATGTGTAATTCTATGAGTAAAATTGCCTTTTATAACACCCACCTTTCTAATATTGAGTAACTGTCTATTTTAGAGGAGTTGGTTAGAAGTCACAATATATGTGATACCTGCGACACCTGTAATGCCCAATTAAGCGAACCTTAATTATTCATGAAATGACATGAATTTTTAATTTTAATCGTAACATACTTGTTAATTCATGTTTTAGATGATGACGACAGAAACCAACATAATTGCGATAGTTCACATCCATTATTCATATTATGAGGATTGTGATTTTAAGTGATTTATATGTTAATTTATGTGTAATTCTATGAGAAATGGCATGAAAAAGGACATGTAAAGAAAGGGATATGAGTATGAATTTTAAATATTTAGGGTGAGAGGGGTTTATTTGATTTAAAATTTATTTATTTACCCATTTGTTCCAATTTCAAATATTTAATTTTAAAAAAACAGCAAATAAGCCTTATCTTTCCCTTATTTTCTCCCACCACTTTCTCTTTATTTATCTCCCAAATAAGCTCTCTTTCTCTCTCTCTCTCTCTCTCTCTCTCTCTCTCTCTCTCTCTCTCTCTCTCTCTCTCTCTCCCTTTCTCTCTCCCTTTCTCTCCATGTCATTTTTCATGCCTAACTGAGAAGAGAAAAGAAAAGAAATTCTTCTAAAACAAAACTCCCATTCTCTCCCGAGGCCATGATTGGAGAATCTAATTATTTAGGAAGATTGAAAGATATATTTATAACGATTTATTGATTGGTTGGTGGAACTAAAAACATATTGTTGACGATCATAGTAAGTTGATTACTATGGTGAGAATTTATGGGGCTTAGGATTTATGTTATTGGACGATTGAAAATTCTAGGGTTTGTTGATAAATGGTGAAAAAGTTAGAATTCTAGGGCTGTGGTTTATCGTAAATTAATTTTTTTGGGTTTTTGTTTCATAAAAAATAGTTATAATAATGGAATTTCAAGGGTGATTATTTTAATTGTTTATTTGGATTGGTTTGGGTGTATGAAAAGTTGTTTGCAACTTATGCAGTAAACTGGGCAGTGGGTTGCTGCTCTGGTAATGTTCGTGGCTCTTAGTCGCGGATAGTCCTGATTTGTTGTATTAAATTATAAACATGAACAGCAAAGGGACTTCGATTTGGCCAAATTTGGTACCGTTGGAAAGTCTTTTTCAGTCTACTTTCTAATGGCACTGGCTAGAGGTTGATATGTATTTTGTACAAGTCGTGGTTAGCGTATTAGTCCAGATTGTTCTTGTTGTGAAGTTTTATTAGTTGTGGAATATGAGGATTGTTGACTTATTTTTTAAATTCTATGATTTAAGTGGTAAATGGTAATATTTATATTATGTTAAAGATGAATTGCTTGCTACCCATATGTATGGATTGTTGTGTATTAAGATATTTTATATTACCATGAGTTCAGTCCTAATGGTTCAAGTATATGGTTAAATGGCATGAACTCATCAAGAAGTCACAAATGTCGGAGCCTCACGGATCGCATTACCGACTAAGTAAAGGTTAAGTAAGCTAATCACAAGTAAGTACAATCTCACCTGCAACGTGATTTACTTTTAAAGAATTTACATGTGTGATTTCATTAGTTCTCAAGTTATGTTTTATACGGATTTCATGTTGTGTTTACCGATCAAGCTCCAATGCAATCTAAGGTTTTGATCAGTGCAACCCACTAAGACGCAGCCTCATATTTCGCACAATAATCGCTCTGGCCTCAGGTTCCAAGCTGTCACACCAACGTCCCTGTCACACTGTCACCACCGCCTCAGCGTCACCGTCGCTACCAACTGCAAACTAGTCATGTCGTTTGGGTCGTTTTTTTGGTTCATTCTTATGACAAGTCGTTTGAGATAAGTTGTGCTATCGTTTGTGTTTAGATTTGGCTCAGTGTTCTCTATTTGGCCGAGGATTTGTGAAGGAGTAATTCATACATAGAGACACATTCCAAACTTTTTCCCCAAATCTGGTCCAGCTCCTCACCACTTTGGTAATCTCTAAGCCTTATATTACTACTTTTTAAAATTGACACATATTGAGGCTATGACTACTTCTTGCATTGTTATGGATAATATGTAACGATCCAGCTCTCCCGAACCATTACTTAACGTTAAATATAAACTTTAAATCTCTTTTTAAAGTCTTTGAAGGTAAACCGAGATACTCAAAATTTAGGGATATTTTTTTAAAAAATTTACTTATAAATCGCTCTTCTGTACTTTGCATTTACCCAAGCAAGGAAGTGGAAATAACATTTAGTCTTAAACATGGTAACCGCACAAAAGTTCAAACCTAACATATTTTAATAACACATTTTAGTTTCTAAGTACTTAGGATTTAAAACACACATATAAATAAGCATCGTAAATAAAGTTTGCATGTAGATACTTTCTAAACCATAAATTTAAACATGTCTAATTCTCAAAATCAAAACATAAATTGCGGAATAATTTTGCATGGCGGTATCCAGTCTGAAACCTCCGCCTTACACGTCCACCGCCAAATCCATCAATAGGTTGTAGTCCTTTTTCCTATAGCATGAACAAATTGGATGAGCTAAAACTCAGTGAATACAAATATCCTCACAAAACATTTGCAAACAATATCACAGATATATAGATGCATGACTTTTTATACTCAATTATGGTATGTATTTTATTCTCGGGGCCCTATGCTTGTACCGAATTGCGCGCGACCAATGGGGTACTGGGGGAGCTACCCAAATATTTAGTTTGATAACACCCAATGTCTAATTAATTATTAATTATTATTTCCGTTGTGGAATCTCAATACCCCCTCGAAGAGTTGGTACTATACCTCTCTGGTTCTCATTTCAAGAAACGGGTGTATGGCTGGTTGCAAACCTATTAATACTCCCATATAAGCTAACCATCGATTGGGAGAGAAAATCGAATGGTGAGAAAGCTCATTTATTTATCGCATACCAGACTAGATATGGCATATACTATGAGTATTATTAGTCAATTTATGCATGCTTTGATGAAATATTATGTTGAAGCAAGCTATTAGATTTTGAGATATCTAAAAGGATCTCCAGGAAAACGCTTGCTATTTTCAAAAGAATGAGGAGCTTAAATTGGAGGTTTATACCAATACAGACTGGGTTGGTTCCATGACAAATCAAATATCAACTTTAGAATATTGTACTTTCCTATGGGTAGGAATTTAGTCACTTGGAGAAGCAAGAAGCAACTAATTGTGGCACGCTCGAGAAAGTAGAATTTCGAGCTATGACTCAAGAGATTTGCGAGCTTCTTTGGATGAAGATAATTTTATCGAACTTGAGAATAAGAATAGAAGGACCTATGATGTTGTATTGTGACAACAAGGCAACAATAAATATTGCTCACAATCCTGTTCAACATGACCGAACAAAACAAGTTGAGATTGATAGACACCTCATCAAGGAGAAGCTTGAATCAAGATTGGTTCGCACTCCCTATATTCCATCACATTGTCATCTTGCAGATGTTATGACTAAGGGGTTGTCTAGCTCAAAGTTTCAAGATCTGATAAGCAAGCTGGGAATGAAGAATTTCTTCGCTCTAGCTTGAAGGGGAGTGTCGGAAGAGATTAGCTGTACATAATGTAGTTAGTTGTTAAGTGTAATTAGAGTGGTTGTTTAGTAGTAGTTAGAATCTTACATATGTAATTTGTCTATTTAAACTTGTAATCACTGATAATAATAAGATAAAAATTATTTTTCTAATTGTCTAGATGTTAAATGGGCTTTGTGTGGAACTGATCCCTTAAAGCTAGCTTCAAGGGAGAGGATGCCCAAACCACATATAAACATCTCAGTAGCCAGTAACTCGGCGATGTGAGACAAATTCAAAACCCCCCAAACAGGGGTTAGTGACGTAGAGGTTTGTTTAGAAATTTAAACCTGTTTAAGAAAGTGATTAACAAATAACAGTGCAAAAATTTAAATTTCAAATCCAAAACCTCCAAGTATTTCCAAACAAGCCCCACTAATTATGAGAAATTCAGTTTCAAGAAAAGTCGTGGAATTTCCAACCAAACTAGTTCAAAACCTCTCCCCTGGTATCATGTCAGGAAATCCCACAAGTTTAGCATACATGAATATAAACAAAAGTAAATGTTGACATCAACCACAGTCTAGCAATATTTGAGTTTACAATCCATAATTTAATACATGCCTTGACATAAAGGGAAAAGAAAATATAAATCTTCACTTCTCGAAGTCGGTTTCACCTCACCGGTAGTAGCTACCTACTCTGCACTACTCCTCGTGCCGCCTAGAGAGGTTTAATACTTTTGAAACAAGAAAAGTGAGCGGAAGGCCCAGTAGGATAAAATTTTATAAAACATTATAAATAAAGGTACTCACTGTCCGAAGACATATACCCAGGACCGATCATCCTTTTTAGAAAAAGGAAATACTCACGTAGTAGTAGAAAAATATCTGTATAAGGAAAATATGCATAGCCATAACACCACTGAGCAAGAAGTGGATCGATACAGGTTTCGGGGCCTGCCCCTAAGGATACGATTCCCATATGCCGATCTCTATGGCCACCATGTGTTTTATCATTTCTTAAAATATTTCATTTTAAGAAATGATACTTTTAAAATCTCATTTCCAA